ACGGCCGTGGGGCATGCTCATCAGAGGCCCAAAACAATGTGTCCAACTGATCTTGGATCTAGACCTCCAACCACATGAGCCAAAATAACCTTTTTCTCTTTATAATCATCTCAAGTATTTCATTATAGTGACTGAAAACTGGCTATCACATACCTTTTATTTTATCCAGGGTTTTTTTTTTTTTTTTTTTTTTTTTTTGGTACTGGGGTCTGAACCCAGGGATGTTTTGCCACTGAGCCACACCTCCAGCTTTTTATTTTTATTTTGAGACAGGGTCTCACTAAGTTGCTTAGGGCCTTGCTAAACTGCAGAGGCTGGACTCAGCTCCCAAGTTGATGTGATCATAGGCATGCGCCACTGTACCCGGCCCTTGCCAGATACTTTCATAAAGTAGACAGAAAAACCCTAAGTTGATGGTTACTTGTGCTTAGTGCACACACACACACACAAAAACCAACAACATCATTTCACTCATTTTGGGCTTCTATGGTCTCTGTCGAGAAATAAGCTATTGATCTCACTGTCTTTCTTTGAAAGTAATTGTTCTTTCCGGGTCCACTCAGGTCTTGTCTTCTGCCTCTGAAGTACAGTTTCACTCAAGGGGCTTAGGGGTGGATTTCTTCTGCTGTTTGGGATTTATTGGGCTCAAGTCTGTGGGTTGACCTTTTTAACCAGTTCTGGGAAGTTTTTAGCCATTATATCTTCAAATATTTCCTGTCTCCCACTCTCCCCTTCTGGACTTCAAGCTGATGGTCACAGGACGCCCTCACCTGGTCCTGAGTATCTGCACCTCTCTCGCACGGTGCTCACTGTTTTATCTATTCTTTCCTCAGAGACTCTAAGCCCTGCTGTGCTATTAAACCCTGGCCAGGAGACTTTCATCTGATAATCACACATCTCATTTCTAGGGATTCCATTTGGTTCTCTTCCAAGTATATGTGCTCCATGTACAGGATTCTGAGAACATATGGAGCCTGTTTGTTCTGCACCATCCCTGCTAACCCAGTATCTGGGGCTCTGGGGCTCTAGCTGCCAGCCTCCTGGTATCCCTGCTGCCTTCTGCACAGGAAGCTTTGCTTCCTCATGTGCTTGGTGGCTTCTCGCTGTGCATGCCAGGCAAGGGCCCCGCTCCTGAGCTCTGCCTGTCGCCCTTAGATTTCCCATCTAGGGGACTTCACTGAAGCCTGGAGATGGGTCCTCTGGAAGGAGACCTGATTGTCAGTTCCTGAGTACACCACCAATGAGGGTCATTTGAAGCTAAACTTTTACAATTTTGCCTTGACCTTTTTTGGGGAGTGGAGGGATGATGGGGATTAAATCCAGGATTTTTTTTTTTTTTTTTTTGGTACCGGGGATTAAACCCAGGGGTGCTTAACCACTGAGCCATATCCCCAGCTCTTTTTATATTTTATTTAGATACAGTGTCTCACTAAGTTGCTTATGGCCTCACTAAGGCTGGCTTTGAACTTGTGGTCCTAGGCATGAGCCACCGCGCCTGGTGAAAATGTTTTCTGTTATGTTCCATCTGCAATGGTTTCCAGGCATAACCACACCAGGTGCCTGCTGTGCCAGGCAGTCAGAGCCAGGCCACCAACATTCATGCAATCTCCAGTCCAAAGTCTGCCACCCACTACATCAATGGCCAAGCTGTACCCCCTGCAGCCAGAGTAGCTAGCCACTCACCCCTGGACACGGACAGTGTGGGAGTGCTCTGCACCACAGCCTGGAGGGCCGTGGGGTGGGTCGATGGAGACGGAGAGACCACGTTTGCCATGAGCAGAGGCTGGGATGGACACCAGGGTGACTGTGTGGGGCAGGTGGGAGCCAGGGGAGTCGGGCAGGATCTGCTCGATGACGGGGGTCACCACAGTCTGGTAGTAGCAGTGCCCACTGCAAAATATGCCCGCGGTGGGACCCAAAGAGGAGAAAGAAAAGAATGTCAATGTCCTCATTAGCATCACCACCCACCGTGGTCCCCGCCCTGGGCTCTGTGCTCTTCCCCTTCCAGCTGACTGGTGGGACCAGGAACCAGAACTGAGCATGCCCAGTGCCCTGGCCCTCTCTGCGGCTTAGTCATCTGGGCTGTCTAGTCCCAGCAATGCTGCCAGATGTCCAGGACAAAGGCTGGGGTGCATCCTGTGCAGCAGGAGGTCTGGGGGGAGGCCTGCTGTTCTCTAATGCAGCTTTATCGCTGTTGCTGAGAAGGAATCTGTCTGGTCTTTGTCCCTGCTTCCTGGGAGAGACTCTCACTCCCTGAACAGGAGTGAACTGTTATCTATGGCCCCTCACACTTTATGCTGGAGTTTATGCTAATGAGAAGACTCAGAGCTGGGGCTGGTCACTGGAAGGGCCTACCAACTGGGGGACAGAAGGGCTGGGGCTTCCAGCCAGCCTGCTTTCAAGGAGGGGCTGGAGACTGAGCTTAATGATGTGGCCAACCAATCACGAGGGAGGAATGAAGCCCAGTAAGATCCCTGGATGCTGATGCCCTGTGAAGCCTTGGCAGCGAGCACCAGGTTTCGGGGAGGTGCCTTGTGTGCTAAGGTCCCAGTTACAGCCCTCGTGATAAAACTGGAGCCCTGCGCCTCGCGCCTTCCAGGGCGCCACGTCTTTCATCAAACCATCCAGCTTGACGGGGTTGCGGGGCCCTGCATTTGGAGCCAGATGGACAGAGGCGCAAGTGCCCAGGGACCCCTGGATGTTCAGATGGTGCCTGAGGGGAGGGCAGTCTCGCTAGGGACTGTCCTTAGCTTTTGAGGTCTGGGCCACTCCTGGTGACTGCAGACCACGAGAGGGTGGGACCTCTCTCCTGTGGCTGCTGTCTCAGGCATTTCTGGGGGGACTTGCCCCCTCAAACCTGGCCACATAGAAAGACAGGCCCAGGTGTGGAAAGCCAGCGTCCTGGCAGCCCGTGATGCGGGGGCCCCGGGTGCAGAGAGGGGCCGGGACACTCACCAGTACAGCTTGGAGTGCTCCACCAACGTGTAGGTGTCCCCATCGCCGATGAAGGTCCCACACGTGAGGCAGATGAAGCACTCAGGGTGGTACTTCAGCTCCCCAGCCACCTGGCGGAAGGGTGGGGACAACCCAGCTGAGCCGCTGGACCCAGCCTCCGGCCCCCTCCGCTCTCTCCATGTGGCCTCTTCTCAGAAGGGCAGCCCTGAGCACATCGCGGGGACTCGAGCACAGTGTGGGCCACACAGATAGGGGCTAAGGGACATGGCAGTCAGGCTTAGCAAGCACGAGGGGCTCAGAGAAGCAGCGAGAGGAAAAAAAGGAGATGATGGGAGAGCTGGAGCAGCGAGGCTCCAGGCGCAGCGGGTGGCACAGAGGGGCGGGGGGCGTGCGCAGGGTGCTCACCATGACCAGCCCTTTGGTGATGTGCTCCGAGCACCCGTGGCAGGACTCGCCGTAGCGGGCCCAGTAGTCCTTCTTGCAGAAGAGCTGCCCATCCTTCTCGTAGTACTGGTGCGAGAGGGAGGCGCCGCATTCACAACACCTGTGGGGAGAGGGTGGGCTGAGTCACCAGCGCCGGCGCCCTGCTTCCCACACACCTGGGCCTAGCCAGTGGCAGGAGCCTCTGGAAGAATAGCAAAATATGTGTCCTCTGGACAGAAGCAGCCCGTGCTTGACACAGGGCTTGGCAGACATGACTCGGTCCCCCTTGAGCTCCTCCTCCATACCTCACGCTGTGCACACAGGGCCAGGCCTGGCAGCTGGCTGGAGGGGTAAGGCTTTGTCATGCAAAGAGGAGGGTCCACAAGGAAGGCGACTTGTTCTTGGTTGCCAGCCAGGTGGAGGACGCGGGGATGGACCAGTGGGCTCCTCCCTGCCCTACCTGGCCCTCAGCACCGGAGGCTTACAGAGCACTAGCATCTTGGCTCCTTTGGTTCAACTCCTCTTACCCTTCCAGGCACCATGAGGCAGGGGTGTCACCTCAACTTAGAGAAGAGGTGGAGTGCAGGGGGTCATGCTGCCTGGGGTCTCACCAAGATCCAGGCAGGGACCTGGCTCATGTAGACCAGCTAGGACCTGCCACTCCAGACAAAGGATCTCCTGGCTTCCCAGAGCCCAGTGCCCCACAGGTGCTGCTGGTCAGAAGGGTGCTCGGGCCAGTTTAGTACCTCAGCGCCAGTCTCCCTGCCTTTCCTCAGAAAAGTGGTCACACTACAGTGGGATGCCCAGGTACACTGGGTGGTCAGGGCCAGAGTCCCCTGCCTGGTCACCAGGACTAGCATGGAAACCCTGAGGGTGGGTGGGTGAGGGGTAGGTGGAGAGAAGGGGAGCTCCTGTCTCTGGGTGCTGGCCACGGTGCGGGAGCTAGATCTACACACTTGGCTTCTTCCTGCCCAAGCACCCGGCTTGGGAGGGACCAGTGGCCCCGCTGAGCCAGCAGCAAGCTCCCCTAGGGACCTGCAGAGCACAGTCCCACTGGCTCCAGGAGAGTGCGTCCAGACTCCTGCTGTGCATGGGTATGTGTGGTCAGAGTGCCCACCCAAAAGGGAACAGGCCAGGGGATCCGGCCAGCTCTGCTGCTGGGTCACATATGGACAAGGGGACCCATGCTCTGCAGGGTAATAATCCAGGAGAGTGGAGGGCTTGGGCCTGGGAGGGACAGTCCTTTCCCCACGTGGCCAGTGACCCCAGGAGGTGAGCCCTGAGATAGCCAGTGAAACACTGTCCCTTTAAGAGGACCCAGCTAGTTCCCCACTGTCTGGCAGTCTGCAGGGAGGGGTGGGGGAAGCACAAAATGTCAGGGTTCAGAAGCACGTGGGTGGGGATGCTCCCAGAAAGGGGACCTGACGCATTAGCTCTGGGGGTGACGGCAGAAGGGTGCAGGATAGAAGCCATGACGGAAGGCCACTGCCCACCCTCCAGGACCACAACCAGGACACCAGAGGCAGGGGCGGAGTCTGGAGATGGGGGCGGAGCCACGCCTCCCACGGTCCAACCTAACTAGTGGTCTGTGCAGGGGTGGCAGTTCCTGTCCCCAAGGGAAAGCCCCCGCCGGTCATCCGTGACTCGCTTCCTGCCCTTCCACTGACCACTCCAGATTTTGGTCACAGGACCGTCACAGGAGCCTCCCCCGGCTCCCTGGGGCTGGCTGTAGGAAGCAGGGCCTCTCCGTGGGTGGGGACTCTGAGCTGCCCGCCTCCCGAGAGTGGCTGCTCTCCTCCGCCCGCCTGCCTGGAAGCTCCTCTGCTGATGACTGGTGGCTTGCTCATCACCTTCCCAAGGGCTCTGCGAGTGCACCAGGGCTCCCCTCCCGGGTGGTCCCCAAGCAGCCGCACCAGGCACCAGCAGCCCTCTTGGGCCCACCCCTCCGCCTGCACCAGCTAGTTCCCTGGGGTCCCAGGCTGGGCAGCCGCAAGCTGTCCAAGAGGACACCAGCCCTTCTGGGGTCCCTACCCCCTAACATCCAGAGCCCCCTCTGCCTGCTTCCTGGGCCAGACCACGGCTCATGTGCTAGCTCAGCAGCAGCACTCTGTGCCCCGAAGACCTCTGTGGGTGGAAGGTACCGGAGAGCCCAGCCCCTGTCCAGCCCCTTGCCCCTCAGGCCCACATCCAGCCAGGAGCCAGAAAAGGCAGGCAGAGGGGGCACAGGCTACCTGTCCTCACAGGAGACCTCAAGTGTCAAGTGAAGCAGGGCAGGTACTGATGGCTTATGGAGCTGGGGCAGGGCCAGTGAGAGAACTCCTGCAGAGACTTGTGCCTTGGCCCCACTGTGGAGTCCCTTCCCTGACATCGGGGGCAGTGCCAGGCTAGGGCAGGAGAGGAGAGGCAGGGACATGGGAGGTGCCCTGCAGTGAAGAGGCTGGACTAGGAGACAGCAAAAAACTGCAGGGACAGGTATTGAGGGTGTTCCTCCAGGGGACGGACACCAGGGCAGAAGGATGGCTGGAGGCCAGCCTCCTGGGGAGACTGTACCCAAAGGGCCAAAAGCTCTGGGAGCTGCCTGTTCCCCACATGGCGGCCAGCCATGACCAGGGAGTTTCAGTTCTGCCCCACGCTGGCCCAGGTGGGTCTGCCCACGGTTACCTCTGCCAGGAGCCTGGGACAGAACTAGGTGGGAAGGGTCTTTCCACTTACTTAGCCCCTCTGAGGAAGCGGCGTCTTCTCAGGACCGAGGCCAACAGCATCCTTTGGCAGGGGCTCTGGAGGCCTGCAGGAGTGCAGGGCAGCCAGCCCAGAGCTTCCCTATCCTGCTCCAGGGGCTCAGGATTGGAGGCTGCAGAGGGAGGGGCCAGCGTGGCCACACCACATGGGGAGGATACCACAGTGTGGTGTGAAGGTCTTGGTCTGAGACTGCAACAGGAAGCAGCTGAAGTGCCTTCTGCTTAAGCTTTGGTATAGGTGAAGAAGGAGGGTTCTAGGTTTTGACCCCAGGAAGTAGGGTGAAGACGGATGATCTAGGCTCTGACCCCAGGAAGTGGGGGTTAAAGGGGAGGGATCTAGGCTCTGACCCCAGGCAGTGAGGTGAAAAGGGAGGGATCTAGGCTCT